GGTGATAACTGGTATGGGTATCAACCGTGGTAAAAAAGAAAGAAGCTCCCTCTTTCTCTGTGTTAGTGGCTTGGCTGACTTTGTCCAGCAGCTCCATGTGGAGGCTCTGGTAGTGGGAAGCTCTCTGGGCCATGGAGCTCTGCAGCGAAGAGATCTCCTCCTGGGCTCTGCTCAGACGCTCCTGAAGGCGCTCGACCAAGCTGTTCTGTTTAGCTCGCTCAGCCTCTGCAGACTGCAGCACTCGCAGCAGCTGCTGGTATCCTTCACCTGCAGGGATTGAGCAACAAGAAGAAAAAAGACTGGGATGCTTCAATTCCTTACAGGAAAAGAAAAAGAACGGGTCTCATTCCAACTAAATCAAGTTTCAATAATCCAAAAGCATTTTCTCTAAGAAAACAAATATATGGAAAATAATTACATGGCAATTGCAAGAGAAGTATTAAATAAAAGCTCTGTTGAAATTCACCGATAACATAAAATGTAATGAATTACACTAGAGGTTTGTGAGCTGGTATCTCTAGAGGATTTTAAAGTTATAACCGAGTCTCTTATTGACCACTCTTGTGCATGATTTTAAAGTTTTAACTGAATCTCCGACTACTCATTCTTGCACTTTTTGGCAAGAATCATCGTATAAATTGTAGACTAGTGTATCTTGTTTTTACCTTATTCTATTGTTGTTGTTTTGATGTATTCTAGGGTGTATCTGGTTTGATGTATCTTGGTTTTATGACTCTTATCATCTTATCTGAATGTATAGTTTGACTTCACTGTCAAATATTTGTTTTGCTTGTGAAATTGTTTTATCTTGTGTAAACAGGGTGTCCATGCAAAAGAGAGTGAAAGAGCTCTCACAGGACAACCCTGAATAAATAAAGGTTGAATGAATGAATACCAGGCTTTAGCTTGAGTAGGTGCGCAGTCCCAGAGTAGTCCACTGGGGGCAGTGTGCAGGGCCTGGCACAAAGTGGCCCCACAGTACCCTGAAGGTAAAAAAAACATATTTGTCAAATGTTATGAAAACACATCATCCTCTGTGCAAGATCAGTGATAAATATGGAAACATGCTTGGGACAGTTGCTGTGGCACCAAACCCATGTTTAGCAAACAAATAAACGAATGATGTAACAATCCCTTGGGTCTAAAACTATGAGACTCAAAATCATGAGACATGGGAAACCAAACAACAATGTTAATGCATGTAGCAATGTCTTGCCACCTCTCGTAGATGCAGTAGGGCCAGTATGGCTTCCAGGCTGGCTAGCTCCACTTGGCACTGCTGAGCATCTCTGTGGCTCTGGGCCACCCTCTGCTCCTGGCTCTGGCTCAGACCCCGCAGGTTTTCCAGCTCCCTGCGCAGAGAGGCCAGCTCCCTGCACTCCGCTCCCCGCTCCACAAGCTGCCCTTCCAGATGCAGTGCCCGTCCTTCAGCCTCCTCCAGCTGAGCCTGGAGGTCTGAGCGCTGAGTAATCAAACACTTGGCCTGCCTCACCTCCTCCCTCAGCTGGCTACAAGGCAGACAGGGAGAAAGATCAGGGATTACACATGTTAACCAGCAAAAATGTACTTTCCTTTGGATAATTTAACAAATAATGATAATTTAGACATCCTCAAATGTACTTCTGTTTCTACATGCTGGACTGAACAACTACAGACCTGTCAACCTGACATCTATAGTTATGAAATCCTTTGAAAGACTGGTGTTGGCCCACCTGAAGGACATCGTAGACCCCGTGCTAGAACCCTTGCAGTTCGCCTACCGGGCAAACAGGTCAGTGGACGATGCGGTGAACATGGCACTGCATTACATCCTACAACACCTTAACTCTGCAGGGACCTATGCATGGGCCCTCTTTGTGGACTTCAGCTTGGCATTCAACACCATCATCCCAGACATCCTCCACTCCAAACTGACCCAGCTCACTGTGCCTGCCCCACCTGTCAGTGGATTACTAGCTTTCTGACAGACAGGGAGCAGCAGGTGAGGCTGGGGAAAACCACATCCAGCACCCGGACAATAAGCACAGGTGCCCCCCAGGGATGTGTGTTCTCCCCTCTACTGTTTTCACTCTACACCAACGACTGCATCTCGAAGGACCCCTCCATCAAGCTCCTAAAGTTTGCTGATGATACTGTAGTACCTCAGTTCTTTAATGGGACAGCTCTGAATAACAAAGTCCATCTTTCTTCATCTAGTGCTGGTTTATTTTAACCACAAGCAAAATTACAAACATGTCCCGGGTTGCTCCCTTTTCTAGACACACACACAGTCTGCTGGAAAGTGGCGTCTCCCCGCCAAACAGAACACATTTATAAGGTTTAGGCTAACCCAATACCCAGAAAGATTACAAAAAAATCCCCAGAAGTCAATCTGAAGACTCCATTTCTTATCTAGTGCTCCACATGGTTTGAGCAGATGCATTTTTACCTAGTCATAACAAAATAAAGAATTTCAATGTGTGTGTATGTTGACACATGGTATGTAGCTAAGGCATTCATTCATTTATCCAGACATAATATTCTAATACAAGATTAATAAAGGAAAAGAATTGGTGTCATAAGTACCTATGGTTCACTTTTCAGAATCAACATTCTATCTGCTAACATTGAAACAAAACAGACTAGAGCAGAATTTAAATCTTACTAAACTGCATTACTAACACATCTGATTCAACACATTGTCTAACAATTTAATTGATCTACAGTCATTGGTCTCATCTGAGACAGTGACGAGTCAGCCTACAGATGGGAGGTTGAGCAGCTGGTCCTGTGGTGTAGCTGCAACAACCTGGAGCTGAACATGCTCAAAACAGTGGAGATGACAGTGGACTTCAGGAAGAGCCCTTCCACCTTACCACCACTTACTAATAAAAATACTTTATTTGTATAGCACTTTACAACTCGGTAGGAGCCCAAAGTGCTTCACAGAACAGCAGATAAAATACATGACCAACAACATAGAAAATAAGAGCAAAAACAAAGTAAGAGCAAAACAAGAGAAACTAAAAACACAAAAAGAAAATATAAATCGAAAGGTAATGATTAGGCTTCCATATCCAATATAAATATAAAACAGTGAGCAAAAAGACATCAACATGATGCCACTGAAGCAAATTAACCACAAAAAGCCTGTCTAAAAAGATAAGATTTAGTTTAGACTTACAAAGCGATAACTCAGATATGAACCGTAACTCCAGCGCTAGAGCGTTCCAGAGCCTGGGGCCGTAAACGGCCAATGCATGATCGCCCCATTTTTTGTATTTTGTTCACGGGACGACCAGGGACACCTGTTCTGAGGAACGCAGAGCCCTAACCAGAGTGTGAATGGACAGCAGATCAGAAAGATATAATGGAGCAAGGCCGTTAATAGATTTGAATACAAGTAATAACACCTTAAAATCAATTCTGGACTTCACTGGCAGTCAGTGCAGCGAGTAAAGAACAGGAGTGATGTGGGAATACTTGGGGGTATTTGAGAGTAAACGAGCAGCAGCATTCTGTACCAGCTGTAGCTTCTGAAGTAGAGATTGGTTAATTCCAATATAAAAGGCATTACAGTAATTGAGTTGTGAAGAAATAAAAGCGTGAATGGCTTTTTATAAATCGGCATGTGACAGAAAGGGCTAAAGCCTAGTGAAAAGCCTAGTTAAAAGCCTCAGGTGAAAGAAGCTGGTTTTGACTACAGATCTGACCTGTTTGTTGAATTTGAGGTGTGGATGTCTGGTCATTTGGTGAGCCGGAGCTCACACCTCCTTGCTGGAATGTGATCTACACCGGGTGTCTCTGTGTGTGTGTGTGTGTGATGTTAATTTGTATGTTAAACTGGCCAGGTGGTCATCTCAGGATGTGGGCCCCCTGGTCTCTGCAGGACATCCCAAGATAAAGCAGAACTTGTAATATGTTAAGTGTGTGTGTGTGTGTGTGAGTGCAAAACAAGCCAACTTGTCTTTGTTAAAATGTGAATTGGCTGTCTGGTCGCGGGGAGATGCAGACATCAAAGGCAGCTGAAGAAGGTATGCGAGTTGTTAGATGTGAGACAACGGTATGAGTTTTATAGATGTGTATTCTATCACTTTGGTATAAAGGGACTGCCTCTTTACCAGTCACTCAGAGAACTCTGCGCAATTGCAAAGCTGTGTACGACTTCTCTCCATGCTGCATGAAATAAAGAATTCTTCGAAGCTACTCTCCGGTCTCCAGACATCTT